CTCCAGATGCATGAGAAGGAGGAAGACCGGGTAGGGGCACGAAGCCAATGGCAGGGGCATCAGAGGGCCAGGGTGTGTGTGTGTGGGGGGGTAGAAGTCTGGTGGCCTGCAGGTGGTGGTGGTGACTGGGCAGCACGCTGAAGCCCCCTCCCATCCTAATGGAGGCAATGTGGAGCCCAGAGACACGCAAGGACTGTGTGGAGCAGCCTGGACCCTGGCTCGTGGCCAGCCGCGGCCATCCGGCTGGAAGCTTGAGAAGGAGAAGGCCGCCATGCAGGCCTGCACCAGCACACGCAGGCTTCCTTCGGGTCTGGCCACCTCCTGCCTCACCACATAAGGCTCCTCTCAGGTCTTTTGGCTTAAGATATTTAAAAATAGTTTCCTTTCTTGGCAACTTGGGCTGAGGTCCCGCACCAGCCCTCCCCAGCTCTAAGTGGATGAGATAAAAGCTATCCCTGAGACAAGATTGAAGAGGACGGGATGCGTGTCCCTTGATTATAGAATGTGTTCCCGAGGGTGTGGCAGTAAGGGCTGGGGGAGAGGGCAGCCGAGGGAGCTGGGTTTGGGGAGAGCATATGCGGAGAAACGGGCTATGGAATGGCTTTGGGCTGGGCTGCTGACCAAGAGGACAGGGACGTGAGGCTAGAATCACTAGTAGACCCCTAGTTCCCAAGAGGGTCTATCCCAGCAGTCTTCATCATATGTGACATGTCCTTCTCCTTTTGACACCTTTTCCCTGGACCCCTCACGTGACCAGCCACAGGCCCACGCAGGAGACGGAAGAAAGGGCAGCAGGCAGTCGGCTTGGGGAAGCTCTGGGACCCAGGACCCTGCTGGAAACTGAGCTGGGGTGGCCCCAGAAGTCTCAAACATACAGCCTGCGGGCTGCATTCAGATCCGTTCAGATCTCCGAAGTGCTTTACTTGGTCCAAACAGTGTTCTGTTTTGCTTTTCTCATCCAAGGGAGAAATTTCTACCACTTAGAGCTGTTCAGACAGCTGAAACAGGCTGAGCTTTGGGAGACCATAGCTCTCCTTCCCCGCAGGTGGTCAAGCAGAGACTGCAACCCCAGTGTCAAGGAGAGGTTGAATAAGACGACCTCCACGTGCCTCCCAGCCTGCAAAGTCTAGGATCTTCTTACGGACGTGAGATGTTTACGGGGGTTGGAGTTTGCCTGTGAGTCTAACAGCACTCTGTTTTCTCTCACTTTTTCCAGCTGCACTTGGTTGCTCTGAACATGCCGTTTTCTGGGGACATTCGAGCTGATTTTCAGTGCTTCCAGCAGGCCCGGGCTGCGGGACTGTTGTCCACCTACCGAGCGTTCTTATCCTCCCATTTGCAAGATCTCTCCACAGTCGTGCGGAAAGCAGAGAGACACAGCCTTCCAATAGTGAACCTCAAGGTAAAAACAAGTACGATTCCCGCTGCCTTCTGGATACACTGGCCCCCGCAGGGCCTGGGGCATCTGCCATCCGTGACATTATCAGAAGACTGCTGGTTCCAGGCCCAGCTGTCCCCCAACTGGCTGTGCCACTTTGCGCAGGTCGTTTTCCCTCTCTGGGCCTGTTTCCTTCCTGCTTGGATGGTCTGTGACTCTTGGAGCACACAGGAAAAATAACAATATTAACTTTTTTCACTTATATAGGGTTTTTTTCCTTGTTTACAAAGCACTTTATACTCTTAATAGGTACTTCCAGTAAAAATAGGAGTTATTTTTTTCTTAGTTTGTCAGATAAGAAAACTGAGGCTCAGAGGAAGAAAGCAGTTTGCCCAGTCACTGCAAATGAGCATTAGTTTCCTTGACTCCTGCGTCTGAGGCTGTTGGTCCCACCTGAGGACATCTTCTGGAGGGTATCAGCTGAGCGGCACCATAGAGCAGGGGACACTGGTCCCAGGGCAGAGGCACTTTGTCCTGAACCCTGGTTTGGTGTTTTCTGAGCGTCTAAGCTTCCAAAGCCCAGCAGATATTTCTGTGCCCCATCTTCTTGTAAAGCAGGGCCTGGCAAGGTCCCTCAAATATACCATGGAAATAGCAGGCTCCTTCAAGGCTGCGGAGGGAGAGCTCTGTTGCTGCTCACACACATCCTGGGTCCTGAGCAGTAACTCACTCTCAAGGGCACACCAAGCCCCTTCAGTCCCTGCAGCCCCAGTACTCCAATGTGGAACCTTGAGGCTGGCCTGTTCCCTCCTGTTCCTGTACCCAGCACTTTCTGTCCCCTCTCCCAGGGATCTGTTCCACCTCCCGCTGGAATTATTTTTGTTCTTGGATCTCTCCACTAGAGACCAGGTTCTTTTAGGAAAAGAACTAAGAGATTCATCTCCATATCACCCAGAGTGTAGACTGGCACAAGACCAGGTACAATTTCAAAGCTCAGTACATGCACACAAAAATTTTAAAATAACAATAATAAAAGAAAGCCCTAAAATATACTGTTGATGGGAAGAGCATTGTACACACATATGATAAGAGTCGTTTCCTCAAGAAATAAGACAGTCGAAGCAAAAGGGTTCGAGGATAGATTACAAAATCAAACCATAAACATTGCTTGAGTTTCCACTCTGTCCAGGCTCTGGGATTGGGGCTGGGGACTTCAATGTGAGGTGTCATCTGGGCTTTGGAGAATGAGTAAAAATAGGCCATTTGTAGGCTGATGGTACAATGATTCTAATGTGGCGTTTTGTCTCTATAGGGCCAAGTACTTTTTAATAATTGGGACTCGATTTTTGCTGGCCATGGAGGTCAGTTCAACACGCACATTCCAATCTACTCCTTTGATGGCCGAGACGTGATGACAGATCCTTCTTGGTAAGTGAGGGTGGAAATGCTCTAATACGATATCATGGGTAGTTTTAGGAGGCATCCTGACAATCGCTTGCCTTTATCAGCTGCCCCTCTGGGCTGTTGCAACATAAAGGCACAGGGCCGTGGGGAAAGCCCTGTCCTTGGAGCCAGGAGACCCAGGTCCTCTAGCTCAATATGGGACCTTCGGGAAGGCATTTCCACTCTTTGAGCCTCAGCTGCCTTACCTGTCAAATGGTCAAGATAATCATACCTATACCATAGGATTGTTCTGCAAACAAAATGAATATGTGTGAAAATGTACAGCATGCCTAGGGCACTGAATGAGTGGTAAGCAATGCAACTCCCGGTGATCCTGTAACTCTATACTGTGAGTTTCATTCGAAATCTTTGAAAATTACGAGTGCTTTTTAGAATAGAACAACTCAGCAAATCTTTCCTCAGTGTCTACTTTATACCAGGCCTGATGGCGGGCCTGGAAGGCACAGTAATATAAGCCTATATGGCCCCTACTGTTACAGGACTCACAGTATATAGAGACACAGGCTAACTATGATTATAGACAGAATGTTATCATCAGTAAGTGGAGAAACAGATATGATAGTAGTGTAGAGGAAATATTCATTTTTATTTTGATTCGGAGGCAAGAATCAGAGAAGGCTTCCTGCAAGAGGAGGCATTTATTGGCCTTCGAAAGGTGCAAAGGAGTCACTCACTGGTCTAAAAATGAAAGAGAGGCCACTCCAGACTAAGGGACCTCAGAAACACAGGTTTAGATTCACAAAAGCAGAGGATATGATTTGAAAATGACTGCTGGGTATGGCTGGAATATTATGTGTTCAGAAAGTTGGAAAAGCAGTGAGGACAGAGAGGTTATTTGGCATCAGACCGTGGAGGGTTAAGGAGTTCGATTCACCAGACTTATGCCAATTTTGCTTATCGACATATACGACAGAGAAGTGTCATCTCAAAAAATAATATGACAAAATTACCTTTTAGGCCCCAGAAGGTCATCTGGCATGGCTCCAGCCCCCACGGGGTCCGCCTCGTGGATAAGTACTGTGAAGCGTGGCGAACCGCAGACATGGCCGTCACAGGACTTGCCTCCCCGCTGAGCTCGGGGAAGATCCTGGACCAGAAGACGTATAGCTGCGCTAATAGGCTCATTGTCCTATGCATCGAAAACAGCTTCATGACAGATGCTAGGAAGTGATAATCTTCCCATGCTTCTTAAAGAGTTTTCAGATTTTTCTTATGTGAAGAGCTGACACTGAAATCTAAAATGTTTAAATGTTGTAAATATTACAGTTTTTTTTAATTACACATTCGTCATAAGAGCAACCAAAGAAAACATACCTCAATACACTCAAAACTGAAGACATAAAGGACTCAGATCAAAGACGAAATCTGATCCATCTCTCGGTGCTAGATTCTGCAGGAAACCCCGTGCAGTGTGAACACACCCCAGCACAGGTTAAGAGCAAGTTGAAGACAAAGGCCATGGCATTCTGCCCACTGCATCCTTCAGAAAGCTACTTCCTCCTTTTAACCATTGTTGTTGAGTGTTAAGATGTCCTTCATGTTTTCTTACAAAGTCAGTGTTTAGAAATGTTACCCCTTTCTAAGTTATGTGCAGACCGAATGCTTTCTTTCCCACACATCCATCATTTGCAACTGGTCTTCTTACAGAGAAACAGAACTGCTCAAATGATCCTGTTTGTACTTTCTGATATTACCAGACTTTAATGTTTTTTCCCCCTAAAATATTATTGCAATCATGCTATAGGAGTTTTGTATTTTTACACAATCATATTTTAGTATGGCATCTGTTTATATAACTCTGACTTGCCGGAAAAGTTGAAACTCCGAATTATCTGGAACTAGAAAAGAAATAGCACATAATTACTACTTTCTCTTGGTGGCTCTCCTCCCCACCCCCACCCCGAGATTTTATGACTTCCATTTGGGAAGTCTTGAACTATAGCTGCAACTGAGACAAACAGGTTCACAGAGACGAATTTTCTGAGAAACATATATCTTCATGCTGTATACCTTGATTTTTTTTTCCATGTAAGTGAACATAAAAACATCTTTTCCGGGCACTTTCTTCTGTTTGACTTTGTCCCCCTCGCTCCTTTATTCTCCCTTGCGGATGTGGAAGCTGACCTGGGGTGGGGCTGCTAATCCTGTCACTGCCACTTGTGCTTCTCCTCAGGCGATGAGCAGAGAACAGAAGGATTTTCCCATCATGCCCATCTGCTCTTGCCTGTGGTCCCCCACATGGTGGGGGCAGGGTGGGGTGGGCAGAGGAGCCCCAAACTGGGAGACAGGATGAACTTGAGTCTGCCGCCATCTGAGCACATAACTTTGGGCAAGTCTGCCTCTCTCTCTCTCTCAAGGAGGTTGGGATAAGACAAGCACGATATCAGCTCCCAGTTATTAACCATCAGACTCATTATATATCCCATCTCATTTTCATAGTAACTCTGCAAGGTGGGCATTTTTACCTCCACTTTACTAATGAGAAAAAAAAACAAAAACAAAAACAGTTGAGGCTTAGAAAGTTCCTTGTCCCAGGTCACACAGCTGGTGAGTGGCAGGGCTGGCTTCAGGCTCAGGCTCCGTCTCACTCCGGATCTGCCCAAGGAGCCGCCGTGCCAGGCTGCCTCTCCTCCCTCCCGGCTCCACGCCTGTGACTCTCTGGCTCCTGCTCTGACCCTGCAGGAGAAACATAATTGCCAGGCGAGAGGCGTGCTGGGATGTTTCCTCCCATTCTGCTGGGGTGGCCAGAAACTCAGCTAACTGAATTCACCCTCATAGTCCTTGAAGTAGGAAGGAAATCAAAGAGGGAAAAAAAAAAGCAGCTCAGAACCTCCACTTAGGGGCTTCATAAATGGAAGAGCAGTGAGAATTGTTCTAATGGGTCATGGAATGAAGACAGTTATAGGCCGGAAAGCCCCGGAGGTGGGTTGTGGAGGACGTGCCCACCCACTGAGTGACAGGGTGGGGGTGACTGGCATGGAGAGGGGCTGCAGGAGAAGGGACAGAGGGCTCCTGGGGCCATGCAGGGCAGCTGCCCGGTTTAGTTAGAGCCCATACACGGCCCAGAGCCATGGAAGGGGCAGGCTGGGATGGGGACCTGGCGGGGAGACTAACCCCCGGAGAGGGTGTCGAGGTCCACTCCCTGGCTGCTCAGGCCTCTTCATGCACTGGAGGAGGGCTGACCAGGCCTCCCAAAAGGGGCCCCTGAATCACCCAACACCAGCCCCTTTCAGACTCTGAGAATGACTGCCAGAATCTTAGGCCTGGTGATCGAGAGCCTTCACCGAGCTTTCCTGTCACATGCCAGAGACCATCAACCTGGTGTCCTCATGTCACTTAGGCAAGCCACATGGGCCCCTCTGCCAGCGTGTATTGCCCCATCTCGCAGGTCCATGTTGCAGCCCCTTGGTGGGTAGGCGAGTGCACGGGAAGCCTTCACCACTCCAGGCCTGGCCTGGCCCTTCTGCCAATGGCCACCCCCATTCCCCTGGACCTGCCTGCCTTTAATCGTGCTTCCCCCTCGGAGCACCTGATGTTTTTAACGTCTGAACCTTGCACACAATTGAGACACAAAGGCTGAAGTGTCCGCAAGCCTTCATTCTACCCTACGCCTGAAAGTCTTGAATGTACCTGAAGGCTGGGAAGCCAACTAACAGTCTCAGCATGATAAGAGAGGGGAGATTTGCCACAAGTTTCAATTTTATAAGTGCTAGAGGTCTTTTGGAGACTCGGCCTGAGTCCATACTGCAGACCTCAAGGTCTAAAGGCTGCAGCATCCAAAGTCCCCTGTCCACAACAGAACCAGAGGGTCAGAAACAGCTGCAACCCAGACCCCATGAGGAGGCACCCTTGGAGGGTACAAAGGAGCAGGGTAGAGAAGGCACAGAGGGAGGGACAGTGAGCATGAAGAAGAGAGAATCCCAGAGAATCCCTCCACCAACCTGAATGTGGTCACATAGTGTAGCTGGAAGAAAAACTGAAGAAACAGGAAGAATGGGCCACAGGAGCTGCCCTCAAATTTCTTGTGTCCTTTGGACTTCATATGGCTTGCACAGTCACTTGGACCTGTAAGGGGTGTAAGTAGGAGACAACTGTTGCAATCCAGTATAGCTGAGCATTGGTCAATAAAGGAAACACAACTCAAATTAACAAGCCAGAAAAAAAAAGAAAGGAATGTATTATCTCATGAAACCGGGAAGCTGGGGGATGTAGAAACTCAAGCAATGTCGACATGGCAACATGGAAACTTAGTCTGCCTCTTCTCTCTCCGTGTGTGTTCGTGCACGTGTGTGTGTGTGTGTGTGTGTGTGGCTGGCTGGCTTCTCCTTTTCTCTGTACATGGCTTTTCTCCCCCAACCAAGGACAAGATTCCTTCATGTGGCAGGGGTGTTTGCAGACAGCTCTGGGCTTGTATTATTCCATCACCCCAGAGAGTGGCCACAGATGAAAGAGAAGACTCCCACTTCCCTCTGGGATTACAATAATTCCTGGAATGGACTCTGACTGGTCCCACTTGTGTCTTGTGCCCATGACTGTGATTGGCAGACCCTGCCCCCAAGAGATGAGTTATGCAGAAGGAAAAATTCCTCCACCCAAAATGAATGAGGGTTTGCAACGACCAGAAAAGGGGGGCACAGAAGGTTGGTAGGACCCAAGAAAATAGACTGTAGCACACACAGCACACAGAAGCAGGGAAGGCTGAGTGTGGGGGACATTGTGGTGGAATGACAGGCAGAGGTGAGATGATGCTGAGCTTGAATTCTTAGCTTTTATCCTGCAACTAGTGAGGCACCTTGGGAAGATTTTAAGCGGGTAAGAGATGAGGGTCAGATCCACGTTTGAGAAAGATCAAGCAGACCTTTTGTTTATTCATTCATCCATTCACAAATATTTCTTGAATGATAACTTTGTACCCAGGATCATGTTTGGATTTGGAGGTACAAAGATACATGATGTCCTCACTTTTCAAATGTGCCAAGCCCATTCTAACACCATGTACTGTTTCAAATCTTTTTCATATCTGCTCTATGCCCTACTCCTGAGAAACTCCACCAGCTGGGACAAGCACCTGTGTGTGATGCTTGCTCACCTGGCAGCTGGGGAGGTACTTCTTTGGTTACCCCTTGAGCTCCTGGGCCACCAAGACACCACTGAGCCTCCTCGAAACTCTTCAATAGCCACCCGCTGATTCCCCCTTCTGCCTTTCACCCTGTACTCCACTTTACAGGGCAGGTGAGTGTAGAGAGGTTTGAATTTTGGCTCTGCCACCTACTAGCCATGGAATCCCAGGCAAGGTACCCAAAATCTCCAAGTGACTGAAAGTCATCCTGTATACTTGACCCTTCCCTGTAGCTCGGTTTCTATGTCTTTAAAATAGGGATAGTAATGGAAGCTACTCTCCATGGAGGTAATTTACTGGAAGCATTGAGAACAGCGTCCTGGCCATCCATTCAGGGTTCACCATCCTTGGCCTGCCCCAGGTGTCTCTCAGCAGGGGCTGGGCTGGGGTGGGGGCATCCTTCCTCCAGCCTTGCTAGACAGTGTCTTCCAGTGTGCCTAGTTGCTCTGCCATCTCTAACGCCAGGGCTGTGACTCAGCACATACAAACCGGTACCACTCTGCCTGCTGTTGGTGAGTATCCACAGTCCCAAGCCCCCAAGTGCTGCTGCTCCTGCTGTCCATAGCTGAACAACTAAAATGTTATCATCTGGCTCAGCAGGAGATGCAGGACTCAGTCCTGACATGAGAGCTGGATTCCTTCTGATTGACAAGAGCATGTGCCACACTGACCGTTAAATAGTCTTATTATCTCCCTGCGTAGAGCCTGCCCCAGATCCTGAGTTCCAAGAAGGATCCAGAACACCCTATTATCTGCTATGTGGGTAGGAGCAAACTGCTACCCTTCCTCTCCTTCCAGACTTGCACCTTTTCCTCTGGCCCTCCTCTCAATTAGTGGCACTACCAGCCAGCCAGTAACCCAGGAGTCATTTATTTACTCATTATTCATTTTTTACTCATTATTTACTCATTTATTCAACAAACATTGACTGAGTGCCTTCATAGTAGCAGTAACAGTAACACCACCACCACCAACAATAAACCGTAAAATAAGTGCTAGGAAGTTCAGCAAAGTAAGGATAGTTCTGTGAGGACTACTTCAATTTTTTAAATGTCAAAATATTTTTAAATATTTTGGGGTGCTCTTGCATGGCTGTATGTGGTGCTGGCCCCTCTCTCCCCTCCCAGTGCCTGCGGCTCACGCCCCCCATGCTGCTCTCCCGCCCTCCACCGCACCTCCTCCTCCAGTTCACTGGCCATACCAGGAGAGAGAACTTTCTAAAAAGCCTGCCATGCTCCGAGTTTTGATTTGGGTTCCACTTTACATGAACACTCATTTGCAGAATTTACATGCAAGGCGGTCCCAGGAATCACCAGCAAGGGAACAGGGAAGTGAGATGGGGAAGGTAAGGCAAACATAAAAGGGCACATCTAGACACCACTGAGGGTGACTAGATCTGGAGTGTCCTCACCACTTAGGAACTCTGGGAGCCAGTGCAGCCTGGCACCTCAGTTTCCCACCTAAGGGACAAGGGTGCTGTGGTATTTATACACCAACCCCCCTCCCAGTCTTGAAAAGTGGGGGAGGAAGGGAGGCTGCATTGCATCGCAGTACTTCTGGCCTGCCTACAGGCAGAGTGCATTCAGGTCGCCAGAGAAAGTTCTCTGGCAAAGAGATGTGGACCCTGGCAATCAGAATGTAAAAATGTATAGGCGGGGCGCCCCAACCTGCTGTATCAGGCTTAATGCCATAGCAGGAAGCCACTCAGATTTTATTTCAAGATAACAATTTGAACTCACAATAACTTCCTATACGTTATTGAAATGATAAAAATAATTAAAAGAAAAAGAAAAAAACATCCTGCAGCACCACTGTTAAAAAAAAGGAAGAACATCAGCCAGGCAGAAACCTTGAGGACTTTCTGGAAGGTAGGAGCCTGGTATAACGGGATATCCTGCAACCTGTCTGCAAATCCTCCTGAGGCTGCTGACCAGTGGCCAATGGTAGCGGGGGTGGGGTGAGTGGGGGAATGGAATGGGCTTAGTGGGGGGGCTGCGGCAGAGGGGAGCGGGAAGGGCTGGGGTTGCTCATAGAGACCCGTGCACATGCTGACAGCACCCAGAAGAGCTCTCGGTCCTTTTCAATGTAGACTTTTCATATTTATGAACTTCCAAATGTAACAACAGGCACCAATTTGTCACCTGCAGGGATTCAGTGGCCTCAAAAAGGGAACCAGGTCCTTGCCTGCGAGAGTGGCCACTGTGTTGGTGCTCTGGGGCTTGGACCCTGGCTAGCCAGAAAATAAACCTCCTCTTGTGTGATTGATCCCGATGTCTCGCTTTTCTGTCCGGTGGGCTGTGAAGGTCGGTCCCTAACATTTGGGGCTCGTCCGGATTTGCCTTCCCCACAGACTACCGGATAGAATTCAGGGCTGAGGGAGGAGTGTGAAAATCCACCCCGGACTAGCCGGGTGTGGTTGGGCAAGGACGCGGAATCCCCTTGCAGGACCCCGAATCAGGACGCCGGCACAGGACCTAGGCGGACGCGCTGGTGGGTCGCCGGTAGGAGCCAGGCGGAGATGTCCTCTGGCCCCGTTTGGACTCCGGAGCTGACCTTGTAGCCAAGGGCTCAGTCAGGAGGAGACCGGGGAGTAGGTCCGGACTAGGTTAGGTTGTCGTTTTACCTCACTGTCACTTGTCTGTTGTCTCTTTGTTTTCGCCGGCTTTCTGTGTGTGTGTGTGTGTGTGTGTGTGTGTGTGTGTGTACATCTCTCATGGCATTGTGTGAGTCTCTGGGTTCTGTGGTTTCAGCCCGAGAACCCATCAGGGTTGCATGGGTTTTCGGGCTGGGGCCATGAAATCAGGGGACCCATGAAAAGATCTGCAGGGGCGACTAGAACCTCCAGGTGAGTATTCCCCTGCATGGGCTGGCAGCACACAGTGTATCTCCTGCCGCCCGTGCCAGGAGTGGCTAGTGCGGGAGGGGCACGGCCGTTACCTCCGTAGGGAGTGAAAGGCTAGGGATTCAGATCCTTGTCCCCAGTGCCCCAACTGTGGAATATCGGTTTGCACATCCGCCTATTATCGACTAGCCATGGGACAGGCTCTAACAATGCCATTGTCCATCCTGGTGAGCCATTTTAAAGATGTCAGGGCAAGGTCACACAACCTGTCCCTGGAGGTCAAGAAGGGAAAGTTTGTTACGCTTTGTGAGGCTGAGTGGCCCACGTTTGGAGTGGGGTGGCCCAGGGAGGGCTCGTTTGATGCCTCCTTGATCGAAAAGGTAAAAGGGGTGGTATTTGGCCACCACGGCCACACTGATCAGATCCCCTACATTATGGTCTGGCAAGACTTGGTTCTAGACCCGCCACCCTGGCTGAAGGCCCTACTACCTTCCCCGAGGGGAAAGGCGGAAGTTCTGGCAGTTAAAGAGGTCAGAAAGGAGAGGGCACGCAGTCCTCGGTCTGTTGAGATGCCAGTGTTGCCGGACTCCAATCTCCGAGAATCTGAGAGACCTAATTAATCTTTTAGAATCTGTTCTTTTTACTCATCAGCCCACCTGAGATGATTGTCAGCAGTTGCTTAAGGTGGCTCTTCACAACGGAGGAAAGAGAAAGAATTCAGGAGGAGGCATGGAAGCTGGTTCTGGGGGAGGATGGCAGACCTACTACAAACCCGAGAACCATCAACCGAACTTTTCCCCTTGAACGGCCGCTTTGGGACTACAATGAGGCTGAAGGTAGGGAGCGTTTCCGGGTCTACCGCCAGACTCTGATGGCCGGTCTCCGTATGGCGGCGCGAAAGCCGACCAATTTGGCCAAGGTAAGAGATGTTCATCGGGGCCGGAGGAGAGCCCGGCAGCATACTTAGAGAGGATCATAGAGGCCTTCCGGCAGTACACCCCATAGATCCCACAATGGAGGAGAGTAAGGCAGCTGTTATGATGGCGTTTATCAATCAGGCGGCCCCCGACATTAGGCGCAAGGTGCAGAGAATAGATAGATTGGGCAAAAAGACTCTGCAGGACCTGTTAAAAGTGGCGGAGAAGGTCTATAACAATAGAGAGACGCCAGAAGAGAGGTTAGAGAGGATCAGGATAGAAGATAGGAAATTCCAAGCTGGGGAAGCACGGAAAGCAAACAGAGAGATGGCTAAAATCCTGATAGCCGCCACAAGAGGGGGGCAGATAGGGTCAGAGGATACGGAAAGGCCCCGGCGGGAGAGGCTAGGAAAGATCAATGTGCCAATTGCAAGGAGCATGGACATTGGGCCCGGGAGTGCCCCAAAAAGAAAGGGGGGCGAAGACTTGGAGGTCCTGAAAAAGCCATGGTTGCAGGACAGGTGACAGACGAATAGGGAAGATGGGGTTCGGTCCCCCTCCCTGAGCCTAGGGTAACTTTGCAAATGGAGGGTAACCCAGTCAGCTTCCTCATAGATACAGGAGCAGAACATTTGGTACTAAAACGGAAGACACAGGAAAATTGTCCAGTAAGACCAGTTGAGTGCAGGGGGCAATAGGAGCCAAATTATATCAGTGGACCACATGGCAGAGATTGGATTTGGGTTCAGGACAAGTGAGTCATGCCTTTGTGGTCATCCCTGAGTGCCCCACACCGCTACTGGGAAGAGACATTCTTACCAAGCTTAAGGCTCAAATTCATTTTGAAGAAGAGGGAGTAATAATAACTGATAATAAAGGCAATCTCATCAACAGCCCCCGGGGTCACTCAGATCCTGACCCTGACACAGGCAGATGAATATAGACTGTACTAGCCAACAAAAAGCAGAGAGAAAGGCATGGAGCAATGGTTCTGTGAATTTCCCATGGCGTGGGCCGAGACAGGGGGCACAGGATGGGCAAAACACCGGCCGCCTCTTTATGTTGAGTTAAAACCCGGAGCCGAGCCAACCTGAGTCAGACAGTACTCCATGTCCCAGGAAGGCAGAGTGGGAATTATGCCCCACATTCAGAGACTCCTGGACAGTGGGATTCTCCGGAAATGCCAGTCGGCCTGGAACACCCCCCTGTTGCTGGTGAAGAAACCAGGGGGTAAGGACTATAAGCCTGTGCAAGACCTCAGGGAAGTCAATGCAAGGGCCCTGGATATCCACCCTACAGTCCCTAACCCCTATACTCTGTTGAGCTCTCTCTCTCCCACGCTGTCTTGGTATACCGTCCTAGACCTAAAGGATGCCTTCTTTAGCCTGGCGGTGGCGACACACAGCCAGGAGATTTTCGCCTTTGAGTGGCAGGATGACAGAGAGGAATTCATGGGCAGCTGACGTAGATGAGACTGCCCCAGGGGTTTAAAAAACTCGCCTACCCTGTTCAACGAGGCCCTCCATGATGACCTTGGAGGCCCTCCATGATGACCTTGGGTTTTGGGGGGGGGGGGAAGGCTCCACCTCTATATGAAGGGTGTAGGGCGGGGCGAGCATGGGAGTGGAGTGTGCAAATGGAAGACGCTTTTCAGGCCCTGAGGGCAGCCATGCTGGAAGCCCCGGCCCTAGCACTCCCTGATCCTACAAAAGAGTTTCACCTGTTCATAGATGAGAAGAGGGGAATAGTCAAGGGGGTACTCACGCAGGCCCTGGGACCCTGGAAGAGACTGGTGGCGTACTTGTCAAAAAAAACCTAGATCCGGTGGCGGCAGGGTGGCCAGCGTGCTTGTGAATCATCGCAAGCCACCGCCCTGTTGGTCAAAGACGCTGATAAGCTCACCCTAGGGCAGTGGCTGCAGATCACCACCCCGAACGCCATAGAGGGGGTTCTGAAGCAGCCACCGGGACGGTGGATCACAAATGTGAGGTTGACTCATTACCAAGGACTTTTGCTGGACGCACCCCGCATCGAGTTCCGGACCCCTGCCACCTTGAATCCGGCTACGCTTCTGCCAACCCCCGATGCAGCTGCACCTGAACATGATTGCCTTGAGGTCCTAGCCGAGACCCAGACGACCCATAGAGACTTGAAGGATCGCCCCCTTCCAGGTAGCGACCTGACCTGGTTCACGGATGGAAGCAGTTTCATCCGGGACGGACGCAGGTACGCAGGGGCAGCCATAGTAGACGACCAAGGTAAACTTGTCTGGGCGGCACGCCTTCCGCAAGGGACATCTGCTCAGAAGGCAGAACTAATAGCGCTGACGGAGGCTCTTAGCCGGGCCCGAGGAAAAAGGCTGATGGTGTACACTGACAGCCGCTATGCCTTTGGGACTGTGCACATACATGGGGCCCTCTACAGGGAAAGGGGCTTCATCACAGCAGTGGCGGTAGTCCATACCTCGGGACACCAGAGCGGGGATTCCGTGGAAGCACGGGGCAATCAGAGAGCAGATGCTGAAGCTAAGAAGGCTGCAGAAGGCACTCCAAACATCCTGTACCTTAGCCTGCCACCCCCAGGCATGGGACGGTTGCCTCCTCTGCCGGACTATTCCAGTGTGGATGAGGTCTGGGCCTCAGAGCAGCTACGTGAAGATGGCTGGTTGCAGGATGAAGGGCATCACCTAATAGTGCCAGAACTCTTAAGACGCCACCTGTTAGAGCACCTGCATCAAACCACACATCTAGGGAAGAGAAAGATGTTGCAACTGCTGGACACTGCTCAACTAAGGTTCAAGTCACAAGGACGGGTTCCAGATGACATCGTCAAAAGTTGCCGAGCCTGTCAGGTCATGCATCCGGGGAGGACCAGAGGGACCCACGCAGGTACGAGGGAAAGGGGGAGGCAGCCAGGACTATTTTGGGAAGTGGATTTCACAGAGGTCAAGCCTGGAAAATATGGGTACCGATATTTACTGGTCATGGTAGATCGTTTTCCAGATTGGTGAGAGCCTTCCCTACCAAAGAAGAAACAGCTTTGACATAGCTATAGAAATATAGAGAAATAGTCGCCCAAGTACTGGATGCCGGAAGGATTGGATGCAGATAATGGACCGCATTTGTCTGTCAGGATTAGTCAAGGGCTGGCCAGGCTATGGGAAATTGGAAATTACATTGTGCATATAACCCCAGAGATCCTGGGCAGGTAGATGCGAATAAAAACATAAGGAGACCCTGACTAAATGGCCTAGAGACTGGCCGGAGATAGGGTGACCCTCTATCCCTTCCCCTGTTCCGAGCCCGACAACCCTTAATCACTTGGGTTCTAACCTTTTGAAATATGTAGGCACACCCCGCTCCTGAGTTCCTAGGATGGCTGGAGGGCTTTACCTGACAAAGATCCCAAAAAGGTTACAAGCGGATGCCAGGCTCTGCACACGTGTCCACAGTCAAGTAGTAGGCCGGCCCTTCGTGCTATCTACCGGCCTGAGGAGGAGAGGTGCCGACACGCCTGTTTCAGCCACAAACCAACAGCAGCCGGGGGACGGGTGTGGGTGAAACGGCATAACAGGCAGACCCTCGAGCCGAGTGGAAGGGCCCCTACAAATTATTCGTTATGTTACCAAACACCAACCTGCTCTTAAGGGTCGATAGAATTAGTAAGACAACTGGCTACGAGCCACTCCCACGTGAGACTTGCCTAATAAAAAGACCCGAGACAGTGCCAAGGACAGTGGAAAGCAACCTGCAGAACCCGAAGAATTCCTCTGAAACGCAGACTGACCTGAGAGGCGGCGCAGCCCAGGACCGCTGACACAGATGACTGGGTTGGCATCAAGATTGAGGTGGACAAACATGGACGGTCGCATGGGGTTGGTTGTTGTGTTGGGATTTGTGCTTTTGCCTAACTGTCTTTTGGGTAAGCAAAGACCTACAGCTGTACTTTACCGCCCGCAACCCCCACCACCCATAACTTCACATGGTCTACCAAGATGACCTGGAATAATACAATGGTGTATAGTGTTCCCAAAATAAAATATACCACACTCGAGGAGACATATGTATGAGGGCAGTAGTAGGGCGAAGAGTCACCAACAACTACATTTTTGAAAGAAGAGAGCCATTCACAGCACATAACCTGGACTACTCTTTTTTGGACTTAGGGGCAATAGGCAAGCAGGACTTAGTACCTCTCTTCTCTGGCAATCGCTCGCAAAGAGGAGTTTTAAATACTCAAGTCCACTAACTCCTAATCGAGCGTCTGCCCAGAACTGGGAGGGGTGTAAATCTAGTATTTCACTCCCTCAGCACAAAAGGACTGTGTCTGCCTCAAAGAAGAACTCGACTTAGTTTCTAGCAGACATAATGGGAGTCTGTAGAGAATCATAGCTAAGGTCAGGGAAGGGCTTGCCCGCGCGCAAACGAGAATATGATCACAGCAAGCAGAAGTTGGTTTGGAGTCTTGGTTAACAGTTGCCCACCTGCGTTAACATAGCTACTATCCACCCTACTACGCCCAGCTGATATATGCTAAGTCCTTAGTCCTTACTTTTGCCACCATGTGTAATTAATAGACTAGTAGCTTTTGTGAAAGAACGGATAAACCACCACACCAGCACGCCATCTGCCAGCTACTAGTATTGGCAACAACAAGTATCAGACAGCTATGGTCAAGTGCGTATGAACTAAGAGCCACCTAAGAGACCTTGGAGGACAGCAAGGAGTAGCGTGTCCTGCTACCTAGAGGAAAGGAGGGATGTAGGGCAGAGGGAATTTGTAGACAAAGGAAAGGAGCAGAGGAATTACTTGGTGATTGCCAATGAGCTAACCACGAAACCTTGTGCTTCTGGTCAATTGGCCTGCTTGCATACAACGCATAGTACACAGGGGAATTATTGGATGAGGTCATTTGAAGCACACGCGAGTGGCCATCAGGCAATAGAGGGCAACAACCGCGCAGATTATTTCAAAAGGCATAGTGGGCAACCAATCATTTAAAGGTCAACGCCACGATCCGCACGCGTAGTCAGGCTTGGTGCGCAGCTTGTGCAGCCATGGGATAAAAGGCATGCCGTTGTCGGTGGGGTCACTTGCTGCCGACGAGTGGGCCACATGTGTTGGTGCTCTGGGACGTCTGGCTCTGGTAGCAGCAAAATAACTCCTCTCGTGTGATTCAAAAAAAAAAAAAAAAAAAAAGGGAACCAGCAGATCAATCAAAGTCAATGGCTTCTATTTAAAAAGAATTATTACGGAAAAAAGAGATAACTAAAAACTTCAGATGTGTATTTTTAGTGAAATTTCAGAGGGTAAAGAAGCATGGAATAGAATATGAGGAGAACAAGAAGCAGTTTTTGAAAATAAAATAATGACTGTATGCTTACCAAAATAAAATAGAACTATAGCATATATGCTACTGAAACTTGATTTCATGAATTATTAGATAAAATCAAAAGAATGAATATGATCCTCTCAGAACACAGACTTAAAAGATAAATGTGTGAGATAAAAGATAAGGGAGAGGCAACTAGATATAATCTTTTGATATTTATCTGAGTCAGAATAAGAAAGAAGAATGAATGGAAAAGAAGCATCGATTAACAAAATAATGAAAGAAAGTTTCCTGAGCTGAAGGAGCTTTATCTATGGATTGAAATGGTTCACTGAGTCCTGGGCAGAATTGTTGCAAAAAAAATCTACCCAAGTACAAATCTGGTAAGATTTCTGCACTTCAATGATAATCCTATAAAATCCTAAAAAAAATCCTATAAACTTCTATACAGAAAGAAATTCAGGCTGGCATTGGAGTTCTCATTTGCAATATTCAAAATTAGAAGACAATGGAGCAATGTGTAAATAATCCAGTGGATAAGAATTATAATATTAAAATTCCACAGCTAGCCAAACTTTCATATATGAAAACAAAAATGGGACACTTCCAGAAATGTCAAACTCAAAATTATAGCATGCAGTTACCCTTTCTGAGAAACAAACTTTGTGGAAGAATTGCAACCAAATGGAAATTAATGGAGAATTAAGATCTCACAAAGTAGAGGAAATCATAATACGCAAGAAATCTAATGAGAAACAAAGTCAAAATAATTTATAGTTATGTCCAAATCAATGTTTCCCAATGTGTATAGTATGTGTGCCACATATACATTGAGGTGATTTTGACTTTAATAGTTACATATTTATTTTAATATGCATTAGAAAAATATAGGTAGACATCCATAATTTCACATTTGTTTTTATTTAATATGAAGTGGATATTTTGAGTTTTAAAAAGTGTGTTGGTTGAAAGAAAAATATTAAGTAACTAATAGTACAAATGGTATATTGTCAAGATGATAGGCAAATGACTGAATTTGGGGAAAATGGTGAACTGAATAATTATTGATAATGTGGCTGTAAAATATGTTCCAGACTTTACCCAATTGTGATGATAAAATAGGTTCATGTTTCTTTCTTTTAAAACCTAAATTACAAGTCAGATTCCCTAGGTATGAAATTAGCACAAAGTTGTCTTTTTCTTTCTCAAATATTCTTCAACAATTCTTCCTTCAAATTTGCCCAGGAATTAGTTTGAGTCACTGTTTATCTGTGGGTACCTTTTGGGAGACGGGAATTCAGGGATGTCCCCTGTGGCCAGATTCACTTCCCTGGTGTCAATGCTCCATTGGCAGTAAGTGGCGTGTTTCTGAGAACTCTGCTGGAGTCAGGGTGATCTTGAAGAGACATTCTGGTGGTCCCGTCACCCACACCACCCCAGCTGCCACTGATCCAGGTCTCTGCCAATCAACGACACAGTACTTTCTCACAGTTCAAGAAAGGCTGCTTCTTCTCCTAGTGTTATGCTTGTTGGAGACACCCACCCACAGCAAAGCCGCCTGGCCTCCAGCGTCACGGCTCTTGCCTAGCATGGCGGTTTCTGTCCATCCGTGCACCGCGGCTTTCTTCAAGGCCGCCTGCAAACAGGGGAGAGGCTGACTTAGAAGTTCTACCATTTATCCTACTCTGCGTTCACCTCAAGCATTTCCCAGACTGCGGTGATGTTTGTTCTGGTGTCCCACAAAGCAGAGCCTGAAATGAGGACTTGATGCCGGTGACTACAAGAAACCAGAGTGAGGAAATAGGGAGAGAAAAATGTAGAAAGAAGACAACCCCATTGATGGGCATAATATGGAGGTCACTGCCATCAGCAATAGGAGCTCAGTTCCTCCAGGACACCTGAGAGGTGCGTAGAATATTCACCCAATGCGTCTACCTGATGGACAGGAGGCGCAGGCATTTGCTCATTGGCCACGGTTGCACACTGGTTGAGAGCTGCCCATAGGGCATGGACTCCTCTGCGATTCTGAGCT